TTTCCACTAGTTCTAGCTTCTCATTGTCATGTTCATGTGTGTTATAGTATCCGGTTCATACTTAGTTGATCTTTTACTATGGGATGGGTGACCGACATTTGGCCGCTACTACGGGTGATGACTTGATTAGGATTAGAATTTTTTTCTCTCTCTCCATCTCCCTCTCTCTTTTTCTCTTTCTCCCTCCCTCTCTCCTCTTCTCTCTTTCTCTCTCTCTCTCTCGCTATCTCTCTCTCTCTCTCTCTATCTCTCACTCTCTCTCTCTCCCCCCCTTCCACCACTCTTTCTCCCCTTGTTCACTTTGCTTCCCTCTCTCTCTTCCCCTCACTTGGCATATGACTAACCCTTCTCCCCTCACTTGGTACATTGCCAAGGTGCGAACGGTAAGAAGAGATCAGACCTCACTTGGTGGAGAAAGAGGGCAAGGGGAGGGTAGCCGGTCCCTTGTGCCACCAAGAAGGCAAAGGAAAAGGGGCGTTGGGAAAGTGAGAAAGGACGAGATCCGGAGAAAGTGAAATATTGAGCAAGGTCAGTTTTGACTCAACCATTTCCCCGACTGCATGACTATGAGAAGAGAATGGGCTGATTGAGCAACAAAAAGAGAACAAAGAGCAGCCAAAGTGCTTGAAAAGATAGGCATGTGGGAGGGGCTATGTGTTGACCCCCAACGGGGGATTGTATGGMTCTTTGCTTCGTGTGGGACTGTGCAGGTGAGTGATAACTAGGGATGCCTCGAGCGGGATGGGGCCGGGAGGAACCGGGCGCCAAGAGGGAAAGGGAAGAGGGACAAAGGGGCTACGGGACCCTTAGCATAAAACCAAACCACGGAAATGACCTTTGCTTTTGAAGATTTGGAGGGTAGATGCGAAAATGGAGTGCACTCTTGCCAAGGGAATTGTGATGTTGTGTGTGCATGCATGTAGAGACCCCGAAAAGACTAAGGGGGCCCGCTTCAATAAGTTGAATGTGAATTATGAGACCCGGGGGGTGCACAGAGGCGAGGGGGAGGACAGCTTCGCCGCAACCCGATGACGCCGTAGGAACACAAGGTTTAGGGAAATGGTGCGCGGCCTAAGGATGACGCTTAGCCTGCGCACAAGAGAAGAAAACTCTCAAAAAACCCCTGGACTGCCTGTGTATTGGAAGGAGCAATTGCTTGAGAACACGACAAAGAATAAAAAAAATCAGCGCTACGGAATGACCAGCGAAACTACCACCCGGCGTGAGGGCTGAGCTACATCCCCAATGTCAAAGCTCTCTTGCGCGATGGCCCACCCCCATTCATCTCAAAGCACTAGGTGGGGGTGACCTCGGGACGAACGGCCCGCGCCCTGAGCATGAGCGTGGGCGGGCCGAGCCAACTGGGACCCGCAGTGGGGTCGACTAAGGCTCGAAAGTCTACCGGGGTTTGACCCTACACCGTTTAGATGGAAACTGCTGACTTGTGACACACGACAACAACTTTGATGCGTGAAACACGGGGTAGGTGTGGAGGTGCGCTGGTATCTCTATTGTGTAGGACGACCCATCTTCTCCGCCCTTTACTTCTAGAACTGGCCACGGTCCTCTATACGCAGGCAGTAACTTCTGCGAGATGTTCTCCTCAGGTGCAAACTCTTTAGACTTAACCCAGACCACGCCGCCTACCTGAAACTGTGATGGGCGACAGTGCTTATTAGCCTGCTCTATCATCCGGTGGTGGGCCTTCCTAAGGTTTTCAACAACAGTGGCTATCTCTTTCTCATGCTGTATCGCGAACTCCTTGGTACCGGGCGGTAGCCTGTGAGTCTGATCCCGGTTGAGTCCCTCAAACGGTCTGCGCGGTCTAAAGGACTTGTGGAACTCATTGGGAGTGCGACAGGTGGACAAGTGCACGCTGTTATTGTATGCACTAGCTACCTTAAGTAACATCTCGTTCCAGTTAATCTGATCGGGTCTGATGTACATGCGCAAAACTTGCTGCAGGATCTTGTTCATCTGCTCTGTCTGACCATTAGTCTCTGATTAGCGGCCAGACGACATCAACAACTTTGATCCATAAACTCTCATGAGTTTCTGCCAGTTCTGGCTGGTGAATCGACTATCTTTATCGCTAACTATGGACAACGGGACTCCATGCTCACTAACCCAGAAATCAAAGAACTTCCCTATTACTAACTCTGTGCATGCCTCTGCAGGCAAAGGAACAAAAATAGCATACTTGCTAAATCTATCAACTACAACCATGACTTGGCTTTTGTCGTGCCTACTCTTGATACCAACATCCATGAAGTCAATGGAGACTGAGTCTCCAGGCTGATCTGGAATGGGCAAGGGCCTGAGAAGACCTAGAGGGGCACGCGTAGTAGTCTTGTTCCTCTGACAGACTTTACAACTGCGGACATAATCTATGCAGTCGTTCTTCATTCCTGGCCATGTGTACGCGTGCATCAGATTGGCTAAAGTCTTTTGCCAACGAAAGTGTCCCTCTGCATCATGGCATTCCCCTAGGATCAAACTACGGATCTCCTCACTATTGGGAACGCATAGGCGGTCTACTACGTTGGTCTTCTCAAATAGCAACCCCTCTGTAGTGCGGTAATCTGGCTCAGTCTCTGGGGCCTCCTTTACCTTCTTGAGGAGGTCACTATAGATAGGGTCCTGCGCATACGCCTATCTAACTTTTCTTGCAGGTCACTCCCTATGTCCAGATAGTGAACTATAGCTCCAAAGTAGTCCGATCTCCTACTCAGAGCATCCGCAACTACATTGTACTTGCCCTTCACATGCTTGAGCTCAAAGTCATATTGGTTTATCTCAGCGGCCCACCTAGTCAACTTAGGTGTCATTTTGGCCTGCGTCTTCAGCCATCTAAGCGTCTCATGGTCTGAATACACTTTGAAGTGTCTCCCAAGCAGGTAATGCTTCCAGTGCTCTAAGGCATGCCTGAGAGCGTAGAGTTTCCTCTCATACGTCGAGGTGGCTACCTTCTTTGAGGGCATCCTTGCTGACATGAACTCTATGGGTCTGTAGCCATTGCCGTCATCTTGCTGTAACACGGCGCCTATTCCATACTGACTCGCGTCTGTGGTGACGACAAATGGCAAAGACGGATCTGCTACCTTGAGGACAGGATACTCTATCAATGGGCGCTTCAATTTCTTTAGCGCAGACGTACAGTCTTTATCCCATTGTCAGATTGCCTCTTTCTTGAGCAACCTGCACAAGGGAGCGACGATAGAGGAGAAGTTCCTCACGAACTTCCTGTAATAATTAGCTAGGCCCATTAACGACCGCAACTTTATCAGTGTGAGGGGTGCCGGCCAGTCTCTAATTGCCGCGATCTTGCTGTCCTCTGGCTTAATGCCATCTCCGTCTAACACGTGGCCCAAGTACAGGACTTGTGTCTTGGCCCACCCGCACTTCTTGGCATTTACCTTGAAGTTAGCTTCTCTCAGCTTCTCCAAGACTTGCCTCAAATGACCCTGGTGTTCCAGGAGGGTCCTACTGAAAACTAAGATGTCGTCTAGACAGACTACGACAAATCTATCTAACCAAGGCCTAAACAGGCCCATCGCTGAAATGTCGTTGGCGCATTGGTCAGTCCAAAGGGCATCACTATGAACTCATAATGCCCATAACGAGTCCGGAACACAGTCTTGTACAAGTCATCAGGATGGACTTCTATCTGATGATAACCGGACTTCAAATCTATCTTTGAGAAGTACTTGCAACCCTGCACCCGATCTAAGAGATCGTCTATCCGGGGCAGTGGTTCAACATTCTTGACTGTGATAGCATTCAGACCCCTATAGTCTACACACATACGCAACTCTCCTTCCTTCTTGGGGACAAGCAAAACTAGTGCCCCAAAAGGAGACGAACTGGGCCTGATCCAACCTTTCTCAAGGAGCTCGTCTAACTGTTTGCGAAGCTCCTCTAACTCTCTAGGGGACATCGTGTAGACTGCTCCCTAAGGAGTTCTACTGCCAGGCTCTGTCTCTATTATGTGCTGGATTGGCCGCGGCACTACTCCTGTCGGCGACTCAGATAAGTCTTTAAACTCTTCCATCAACTTGGCAATGGTTGGATCCGTGGAACTAACCTCTTCCTTAGGCTCAGTGGCAGGTCTAACATACACTACAAAGACCTGATCCTCTAACTGCTCCTTTTTCACTAATCGCGCGAACGCGGGAGCACTGAGACAGCAATGTGCCAAGGTGTTGTCTACACCTAACACATGGAACAAACGGGCTGTCTTAACCTCGCCTGACGGACTAGGGAGCCTACACTCATGCTCTCTCAAATGGAGTGTGGTCCCTGCTGCCTCTCCCCAGTCCATGCCTAGGACTACATCAAAAGGAAGATCGTCATGAACGAGGAGAGTCAGGGAATGGAGAACTTTCTCCACCTTCCCATCTTTCTCTAGGCGAAAGTACGCCTGGACTCCCTCTACGTAGTCCTCAACTCGCATCGTGCGATTGTCTGCGAGGACACTAGCTATGGGGTCTTCCAATTCCAGGACCTTCAACCCTAGCCTCAGCTTCTTCAGCGCCCTACGGCTAATATAAGTACGGGTAGCCCCTGAGTCTGTGAGAGCCCCAACTTGATTCCTGAAAACCTCTACGTCTACTAGTACTAGCTGCCCTTTGCTATCTTTCTTCATCTTGGCCCAGACAGGCATCCTCTCCTTCAATTCCTCTGCCATGCCTGTGAGGGACGTGCCTAGAGAGACGCTAACACAAGCAGTCTCTGGACAACTAACTAGGCACGAGCCTGCAACTTCTGCTGAAGGCACATGTGGTGTGGGAGTTTTCTCTACACGCGCGCTCGCTTCCCCACATGGCCTAGTAGTAGGGGCAGTTGCAACCCCTACCGGTGGCTGCCTTTTGCCTCCTGGGCAGCCCACCGGGCCTGTCTATATTTAGGGCAATATTTTATGATATGGGCAGGGTCACCACAATAAATGCACTACCCCTGCTCCATCCGCTGCTGCCACACTGTCTGGTCCAGGCCCAGATCTTCCCAGGGCCGGCCTTGTGGCCAACCCGGGTGCCAACCTCCTGACCTTTGAGGTGACCTGCCACCTCGTCGCTGTGGGGAACGACTAGGACCTTGACGATTCGGCGGGGGACCTTGACCCCTACCTCCCGCTTGTTGGTTCCCTTGACCGCCAAGCCCCTGTGCACCTGATCCTCGGCCTCCCATGGCCTGGCCCCTTTGGCCCTGGCCTCCTCCTCTACCTTGCGGCCTCCCTCCAGCTGCGACAGCGGCACAGGACCTCCCTTGCCCCATGCCACCGTCCTCCTCCTCGAGGCCCCACTCAATTTGACTGTACGGGACCTCGTCAGTACTACCTTCCTCCAATGCAAGGATCATATGATCCTTGGCCCTGACTTGGCCAAAGATGGTACGACCTTTCCACTTTTTGCCCTTGTCTAAGTCTTTGTGCCAAAAAGTGGAAACTGGCATCGACTTTGCCTCGAACAACACCACTTCCCTACTGAGCGCATCATACGTCATAGTGGGCTGTTGGGACTTATCATAGAAGTGCCCTCGTAAGGGCTCCGGCATGGCACGATAGAAAAGTTGGACCAGTTGGGACTCAGTCACCCCATAGTCCGGGACGGCCACCAGGTCGTCCATAACGGCTTTGAGCGCCCTGGCACTCCTCCACTGCCATGAGTGGATGGTTTGGAGTTTGTCAGAGGCTCTTACGCCCCTGCGAAGATCGGCAAACCGCTCCCTAAGGAGCTTGAAAAATTGAGGGAGGGGGTTGACTGTGGAATAAGTGACCATGTTGTTTTCACAACCGGCCGCGCGCGCGAGGGACCTAGCGAAACTAGCCGCTTCCTCCTTGAGGGCTTGGAAGGCTACAAGGACCTGATCGTCCTATACGATATGCTGTAAGTAGACATAACTGTTTACGCTAGCCTCCCAATTGTCGAAATTCTCCTCGGGCTTCCCGCCGTACGTGTCTGGGAACTTAAGCTTAACTGGGTCCTTGCGGGGTCTGGCCTCACTCTCGACTGTGGCTGCTGCTTTGGCACCCTCAATGGAACCTTCACAAAACTTCCCCACGTTATCTCTCAACCGCCTGACTTCGGCCCCAACGTGGGTAACCATGTCGCGCGCAAACTCTCGAAACCCTGACCGCATGGCATTCAGGGCCACATTGTGACCCCAGTTGGCTTGGCGCTCTTCCAGCCAGGCCTCACTCAATACCTCCAGATAACCCAGCATCTTATCCATTTTGGCAGAAACATCTGCCTGCGCCTGCACTTCTTGCCTACAGGCTCTCACCTTCTCCACCTCTGTGGTCAACCGGTTAACTTCCTCCCTCCTCCTCTTCTTCTCCCTCTTCTTCTCATCCTCTGTCTCCTGTCGTTCAAGGGGGTCCTCAATCGTTGCTAGTGCCTTGGCAAACGCCTCCTTCTCCTCCAGTGGCACATACAACTGTGCCTCCTCATCTTCCCCCAACGATGAATTGGCTATCCACTCGCTGATCTTCTTCTCCATCTCTGCATCCTCATTCGCCGTGCCACTACTCTCCCCTTTTGCTTCCCTGCGTCTTCTCTCTTCTGCTTCTTCTGTTGTCGCTTCTTCCTCGGCGGCCTTTTTTTTCTCCTCCATTTCCTCCTCCAATTTCTTCATTTTCGCCGCCTGCTCCTCTGCGATTGCTTTCAATTTCGCTTGCTTTAGGAGCTCTTTCCTCTCTCTATTCTCTTTCACTAAGGCGGCCATCTGCTCTTGTTGAGCCTGGGTATAGGGGTTAGTGCTTTTCCCACTACGGGTGTCAACCATGGTGATTAGTGCACAACCGGTTTAACGGTTCCAAACCTCACCACTTAGACTCTAACCCCTGACTGACAAACTTACTGACTCAATCTAAAGACTCACATAATCCGGACAGGGATCTTATCAACTAGGGTCTCTAGCCTAGACCTACTCTAAGGCTGTCACTACTAGACCTGTTGCTGATCAGGAGGCATTTAAGGAGATACCCCGTAACTCCTCACAAATTATTTAATGTCGCAAACAGGACGACGCGATCAGCAGGTCTCTTAGACTGCCTGTTGTGCAGCCCACAGCTCAGCTTTTCGGGCCTACCGTGCCACACCGAGCAGCCCGCTGGTCTGGACCGGTCCTTGGGAGGGTTCGTGTCCTCCGGGACAGACGAGTCGTCAGACACAGTCTTTAGCCCTACTTAGTCCGGCAGGGGTTTGGTCAACGAGGCCCTATCCTTCATCCACAGAGTTCCTACACCTAGACAATAAAGACTCAATGTAGAAAGAAGAGACAGACAAACTTGACTCAGCAAGTACCACAGGGTGTGTGCACATCCATAGGGCGAGGGAATAGGCTGAAGGCTTGGCGAGAATATACCGGCTCCAGCTTGGTCAAACTCGTGGTCAACGGTCTTGGTCAACGCTCGGTCAACGCTGAGGTCAACCCTCGGTCAACCCCCGGTCAACACCTCCGGTCAACTCCCAGTCACACCCGGTCAACGCCTGGTCAACTCTCCCGGTCAACTCCTCCGGTCAGCTATGGCTGCCGACTTCTTCTTCCTCACCACCCTTCTCCTTCCTTTCTCCTTCCTCGCCACTTTCTCTTCACCCCGGCTGTCTTCTTCCTCCTTTTTTTTTTTTTTTTTTTTTTTATCGTCTTCTCCCTTCACCTCCTCGGCTATGGCTTCTCTCTCCCTTCTCAGTCTCCTCCTCCGCCTTCTCTTTCAACCTCCTTCGTTCTCTGTGGTCGAGCTCCGCGGCTATGGCCGCCTCTCAATTCGTGGGACTGCACGGCACACCTCACAGGTAAGTGACAACCAAACTTGTATCGCTCATCTCTCTCTCTCTCTCTCTCTCTCTCTCTCTCTCTCTCTCTCTCTCGTCGTAGCGATGTCTTCAACGCAGAAATGTGGTAAGCCAATCTTGTATCGCTCAACCTTTCTCTCTCCCTCTCTCTCTCTCTTGGTCTTCTTCTTCGCCGTGGTCTTCTCTGCAGATAGGCTCCAGGTCCGCTATGGCGGACTTCTTCTCTCAACGGCCACCTCAGCTATGGTGCATGATCTCCCTGCGACACACAACGCGGCGCGTGGAATAGCGGGTACCAGCTCTGATACCAATGCAATCAGACTAGCTTTCATTCACACCTTACATGCATGCAAACAGTAGCGCAGCAAACTGGCGACATGCGCCCACTCAGTACTCAGAGATATGGCAACCCAGATACGAGTTCACTTCCAATGGCTATGGCGACACAGCGCCCATACAACTCTCTGTTCGCATACAGTGGATTACCCTGGATATCCCACACGCGTCTCTCTGAACACTCACACACACACACACTGAACCCCAACTACAGCTATGGCGGCTATGGCCGCCGCTACCCTATCGCTATGGCTACACTTCGTCTCTCTGCCCACTTCGTCTTCGGGCTCACTGCAGACCTCCTTGCACAAGTCGCTGTGGCAGCGCTTCCGCATGGCTCACGCAAGAATGAATGAATGGCTGGGCGCTGCCTCTTGATTTAGACTTCTGCAGTGCGTTGGTCTGGCCCTTTCCCATGCCCGAAGTGCACACAGTCCCATGCGGTACTTGCTGGACTGGACCACGACTGTCTAGGACTGGGACTGCTGACTCAGCACGGGTAGACTTGCCCACTTGCCTCAGCACTTGCCCACTTGCCTCAGCCTAAACGTGGGGCACTTCGAAAGGCCACTACGGGGACCTTCCGGAAGGCCGTAGACTTGGCCTTTCGTGACTGTAGCAGCTACGACTTTGACCCTTCTGGACTGTAGCAGCTACGACCTTGACCTTTCGGGAAGGCTACAGCTACGACTTCTAGACCTGACTAGGACTCCTACTCGACAGGTCTGCAGATCGAACCCCTGCGACCCCTGGACCCTACGACAGTCTACCACTGTTACAAACACACAGGTCACGAGTTCAACTCTAGGGGGCGACACAGATACTGTACACAGGTAAGGTGGGGACTAGGGATCGAACCCTGGGATCTGCGTCAGCTACTGCGAGCTGGTGAATACCATTTCAAGAGAAGGGGGAGATAAGGCGGAGGAGATTGTTGGGCGAAGAAGAAGAGCCTTGCCATTTGTCTTTGCTGGTGTACATGATCTTCTTCTTCTTTCTTACTTCTTCTTCTTCTTCTAATCCTCTCTCTCCTCTCAAGTTCATTCATTTCTTTCTGCAATTGGATGGCATTGTACTTTCTGATGGATGTGTATCTCGAAATTGGCCAGGATCATAACAGGTCAACGCTTGGTCAACTCCGGCTATGGCGGCCGGCTCCTCCTTCGTCACCACCCTTCTCCTTCCTTCTCTCTACCTCGCCTCTTTCTTCTTCACCCCGTCTGTCTTCTCCTTTTTTTTTTTTTCTTTTGTTTTTTTTTTGTTCGTCTCTTCCTTCACCTCCTCGGCTATGGCTTCCTTCACTCTTCTTGGTCTCCCCCTCTGTCCTCTCTTTCACCCCCTTCGTTACTCTGTGGTCGAGCTTCGCGGCTATGGCCGCCTCTTCACTTCGTGGGACTGCACGGCACACTTCACAGGTACGTGACAACCAAACTTGTATCGCTCATCTCTCTCTCTCTCTCTCTCTCTCTCTCT